CTACTACTACTACTACTACTACTACTACTACTACGATCTTTGAGAGTACCGGGGGCATCGGCCCATTCAAACCATTTGTACATTCCAGGCTCAAGCGCTCAAGGTTGAGAGATGAGAGGGAGAAAGAGAGAGAGAGAGAGAGCAAGACAAGAGAGAGAGAGAGAACACCAACACAACAAACATTACAGAAACGAGAGCAGAGCGGACAGAGCAGAGCTGGTGGCCCTCCCGTGTCCTGCGGCGCCGTCTCCGTAGCCGGCCAGGCTGGCGAAAAGCACGGGGCAGGGCCGAGGGAGGGTCCGAAGCAGGCCACCTGCTGCTACCCAGACCCCCCTCCTCCATCGTAGGTTCCTGCCGGGCGCACTCGAGGGCGCGAAGTTATTCGCGCTTCGCCGTTCGGCCCCGATTCGTCCTCATCTTCCTTTTCTCCCCCGGGGGGGCGGCGCGAGAGCGCGAAGTAATTCGCGCTTCGCCCAGCGCGAAGCGCGTAGTTCGGCGCCCTTGACAGACGGGTGCGACTGTGCCGGCACTTGCTCGCAATCTGCCCGCGTAAGGTCGCGCCCCCGTTTCCAGCGCAGCGCGTACTGCGCTGGCGGCCCGCGCACGATGCAGCGCAAAGGGAAAGGCTCAGCAGACTTCTCGGAAGGTCAGGGGACCTCCGATCTTTCTGAGCAGGCCGTCTCCTCCTCCTCCTCCTCTTCCTCCTCCTCCTCCTCCTCCTCCTCCTCCTCCTCCTCCTCCTCCTCCTCCTCCTCTATCTCCTCCTCCTCCTCCTCCTCCTCCCGACCTGATTGTCCTCGTCCTCCCCATCCTCCCCCTCGTCTTCCCACCCCAAGAGGTACAGCGGGCTGAGATGAGGGGCTCCAGGCCCCGCCCGCTCGGCAGCGCCCTGCAGCGCCGCCCGGCGCGCGAAGGCGCGCGCGCCGGGCGGCGCGCCTTGCCGCGCGCGGCCACCGCGCGCGGCCAGGGCCCCGCCGCCTCGCCAACCTCGCCGCGGGGAGGGTTCGCGGGATCAGCCGCGCGCGTCAGGGCGGTCGAAGTGGGGATTCTCCTCTTGTTCCTCCTCCTCCTCCTCCTCCGCCTCCTCCGCCTCCTCCTCCTCCGCCTCCGCCTCCTCCTCCTCCGCCTCCTCCTCCGCCTCCTCCTCCGCCTTCGCCTCCGCCTCCGCCTTCGCCTCATCCCCCTCCCCTCTTTTTCGAGTCCGCACTTTCTCGAGTAGATGCTGGGAGACATCGACAGAGGCGCCCGAGAGCCGTTATGCTCTTCTGTCTTGTCCTCCTCCTCCTCCCCCTTCCCTCCCCCTCCTCATCCTTCGCCTCCTCCTCCTCCTCCTCCTTCTCCTCCTTCTCCTCCTCCTCCTCCTCCTCCTCCTCCTCCTCCTCCTCTCCTCCTCCTCCTCCTCCTCCTCCTCCTCCTCCTCCTCCCTCCTCCCTCCCCCCTCCTCCTCCTCCCCCTCCTCCTCACCCACGGGCAGGTATTGCCGTTCCTCCTCCTCCTCCTCCTCCTCCTCCTCCTCCTCCTCCTCCTCACCCCTGCCCTCATCCTCCTCTTCACCCTGCCCTTCTTCTCCCCTCGCATCCTCCTCCCGCTCCTCCTCCTCCTCCACTCCTCCATCCCTTGTCCTTGTCCCTCCCTCCTCCCCCCCTCCCCCATCCCCCTCCCCCCCTCAATATTTCTGTCGTGTATGGTCCTGAAGCTTGAAATGTTTCAACATCTTCACAGGTCATGCGCGGCTCGTTTTTTTTATATGTGCTTCTGGCCTATAGCCGCGCGCATTCGTTAAACAATGCAGCAGTCTCTCGGATGGAGGGTGGGTTGTTTGAAACATGCGGTTGTCGCCTTGGCGCCGCGCGCATTCGTTTAAAATACGTTGCAACAGCATCATCGATGGAGGGTGGGTCGTTTTCGAAATGTGGTATCCGCTTTAGCGACGCGCGCATTCGTCTTAAGATGTCTACAACGCCAGGTCGTGTTCAAAATTGGGCTCTTGCATTAGCACCGCGCACATTCGTCACAACAGTTCGCAGCCATTTCGATGGTTTGTCTGGTCGTAGTCCCAGACATGGTGTCCTGGCGCAACGTAGGATTGTCAGAACGCAGCACTCACATTGATTCGCGGCGTGGAAGTCTAAAGAGTAGCGTTCTAACCCGATTGAGGATTGTTCGGACGTAACAGTCACATGCATCCGCGGCGTTGAAGTCGCAGGAACGATGTTTAGGCTCGCTTGAGGATTCTTAGACGGCTGCATTCTAATGGGCCTCTGCCGCAATGGAGATAATGTTGCAGGGACATGTGAAGAAGTAAGTTATGGGGGGGGCTCTTGCAACTAATGCATCTTGGGTTTACGCTTTACGCTGGTTCTCCTCCCCCTCCTGCTCTCGAAAAAGCCCACTGACATATTTGTTTTGGAGCTCCGCCAGGATCTCTCACATCTGCGCCAGGCCCCCCTGGTGGCGCCGCCCGAGCGCCAGGGAGGGGGGGTCCAGCGCAGATCCAAGAAATCCCCGCGGAGCGCCAACAGTTGATGTAGTTGCTTGTTCTTCTTCTTCTTCTTCTTCTTCTTATGTTTCGTCTTCGTCTTCTTCTTGTATCCTCGGGTTGCCCAGGGGCCCGCCGAGCACGGTTTATTCGGCCGCCCGCCTCGGCTCCCAGCCTCGGGCTGCTCGTTTTAGTCGGCGGCTGCGCCCTCGTCGAACGCGCCTCCCTCGGGGGAGCCCCCTGCTCGTTCCGAGAAAACGACCGGCCGTTGGAGGCCCGAGCTCTAGCCCGGGCTCTGGCCCCCTTGGTGTCCAATGCTTCCGAACTTATTTCTACTACGTACCTTTGCCCATCTTCGGGGGCGGCAAAGAGGGGGGGGATGACTAGGGGGGGGTGGATATCATGGCGGGGGCCATGATAATTCCCAGATTTCATGGCGCCTCTTCTTATTTCATAACGTCCCTGGCCCCCCCGTTGGGCCGCGCACATGCCGCCGGTCATGATTTGCACCCCCCCCTCTTGGACACCCCCCTCTTTGCCGCTCCCGACATCTAGACTGCACTACATCGGTTGCACAAGGCAGATAGCGCAACATAGATCGCAGAACCTATATTGAAGCACGGTTGCTCCCCGTATATCGCGCAACACCGAGAACTCGAATCACACGGTCTGGGGCCCACGCTGGCTAGCATACATCTTGTTATACACATAGGTATACGTGATATATATATATATATATATATATATATATATATACCCACGCCTCTTTTCCAATTCATCAGGTGGAATAGGACAATATTGCTAATCAACGACCTACTGCATCACACATACCGTGATAAAACAAGCGTATGCGCATCAACAATCTTTTGTATGGGGGAGTGAGCAAACAGACAAAAGAGATGCCTTCAGGTAGTCAGCGAGAGGGTGCGCGAGGCAGACGTACGGGCAGCGCCATCGCGAAGGGCAGATATTCGGATTGTTGGGCAGACGCAGAGCAGGGAGACACAGCTACTGGGGCGACCAGGAAGACCCGTATGGTGATGACTATCGCGATGCCGAAGGAGGACGAGAAGGGGAGAGAAGGGAAAGGGCTGCGGGGACGGAGAGCGCTTCTTGGTACCATGCCTGCCCCGCCTGCACGGCCGGGGCGAGCAGTGGGATGGCGCTCTCCAGTGACGATCGCGCGCTGGCATATGATTGCGCAAAAAAAGAAGGCTTCCCGCTTGCCGCTGTGCGGCAGGTCCGAGCCGTGCCGGCGCGTCCGCGACCCCAGCACGGGGCGTTCTTGGCTGAGCGCCGCCGCTGGCCCCGGACTCGACCGGCATCGAGCGCTCTGCGTTGCCGCAAAAGGCCGCGCCCGTCCAGAGAGGAAAGGTCCCCGCGGTGTCAGAGAGCAATGCCGACGTCGTGTGGAGACGCCGACGTCGTAGTCGTCGGCGCCGTTGTCGTCGTCATCGTCATCGTCATCATCCGCCGACGTCGTCGTCGTCGTCGTCATCGTCGTCCGCCGACGTCGTCGTCATCGTCGTCGTCCGCCGACGTCGTCGCTCATCGGTCGTCGCAGTCGTCGTCGTCGTCGTGTCTGCCCGCGCCCCCAGCGCCTGGCAGAGAGATCGACGTTGCAGCTTGGCAAGCGAGTCTTCGCCTCGAGCATCGAGGCCTCCCAGACGGGGTCCGAGTAGGTGGGGTCGGAGCATCGCACCGCATCGCCAATGCATCGGCGATGCGGCTGGATGTGGAGCTCTATTTTCTCCGCGCGGCGCGATCGGCGATGCGGCGCGATCCTCCGACCCCGCCTGCTCCGACGACCCCATCTGGGAGACCTCTGGAGAACCGGGGGGCACGCTTCGGGTCTCGGTGCCCGTCGAGAGAGCTCCGCGCGGCGCGAAGTACGGTCGCAAGATTCGAGCAGGAGATCGACTGCAGAGCTTATAACACTGATTTGTTTGTCACAGCGTTCGCAGGTCCAGGAACGTCCTATGTTTGGTTGTTTCGCGGGTTCGGCCAAGGTCTCCATTTTGGGTGTACATCAGTTCTGCAGCGACCTCCAGCTCGAGCAACGGGGACGAGCACCTCAGAGACCGCCGCCTTGCAAAGCATTTGAGGCTCCGACAGCGGGGTTCGGCCACCACGATCCGATCGATCCGATTCGACACATCGGTTCTGGCCTGCCCGGTCCGATTCGAGACTGCGATGCTCCGAGGGCGGGTGCGGCCCTCTGCCTGCGTGGCGCTGTTGTGCATCCTGGCGCAGCCGATGCGATTCGACCTCGATGCCGTGCCGATGCATCCAGATCCAAAGGCGCCCTCGGGGGCGCGAAGTTATTCGCGCTTCGCGGTTCGGCTCCGAGTCCTCCTCATCCTCCTCTTCTCCTCTGGGAGGCGGCGCGAGAGCGCGAAGTTATTCGCACTTCGCGCTTCGCGCAGCGCGAAGCGCGAAGTTGGGAGCCCTTGCAGATCCGATGCGCAGATCCTGCCCCCCGGCGGGCCCGGCTTTGGGACGCCAGGCGGGGCCGACCTAGCCCTTTCTCCCTCCGTTGGCCCGGGTTTGGGTGCTACTGCGCGGCGGGCCAGGGTTCGTGGCACGGCCTTCGCTGGCACGGGGTGATGCAGGATGACGATGAAGAAATGCCCGAGGGGGGAGTGTCACCCAGCAGTGCCGTGGGCGATGATCAATATCTAATGGTTGTCGGCCCATCCCGCCATTGTGCCTGGGCTGCGGTTCAAAGGCCTCGTGGATGCATATGAGCGTCTCCTGGATGCCTCTGCGGGGACTCGTGGAGGACTCTTTGGGGGATTTGGGGGCCTCTTTGGGCGTCTTGGGCCGTCTTGGGGGGCCTCGAGAACCTCTGGGGGGATCTTGGGGCCATCCTTCGAAAGGCTCGGAAATGTCCGTTCGTGTTCCCCTCCTGGGGCCTCCTTGGGGGCCTCTCGGGCCGTCTTGGGGTCCTCTTAGGACGTCTTTGGGGCCTCCTGGGGACTTGTGCAGTCCTGGGGCACTCTTGGGGGCTTGTTGGGCCACCTTGGAGCGACGGTAGTTGAACAAGGCGACAAGGCCAAAATCTGTCAAAAACCAAAGTGTAATCAATGGATTTTGACCTCTGAGGGCCCTCTAGTGGGTCCTCTTGGAGCGCTCTTGGAGCCTCTTGGGGCGTCTTGAGGCCATCCGGGGCCTCTGTGAGCGATCTTGGGGCTGTTGGGGTCCTCTTAGAATGTTTTGGGTGCCTTACGCGGTTACCTGGGCCAATTAGTTGGCCCTCATGCGCGGGGTTGCCGTCCCGGAGGCCCGCGCGAACAAAAAGGTCCCGGGTCTTAAGGACCTTACAACCCCAGTAATGTTCAAACACTTTACCGAAGGACGCGAATGATATTTGCATATATGTTTGTATACATGTATTCGGAATGTATTCGTATACGCACGCACCAGTGAGGGTGTGTGGTCTCTGTCCACGCCAGGGTCGCAGGGGAAGGCTTGCGCGGCGTTTTCTCGGCACCAGCGAGACTGTGCATGGAGT